AGGTGAGGTGAGGTGAGGTGAGGTGAGGTGAGGTGAGGTGAGGTGAGTGAGTGAGACTGGGGTGAGAGAGTTGGTGTGAGAGAGTTGGGGTGTGTCAGTGTGTGTAAGTTGTGGAGGAGGAGCGGCGAGCCGAAAGGACAGCGAGGACAGGCAGGAGCTCCACGCTAGCATGTAGGGTAAAAGGACGAGAAGGGTCTTGGTTCACTCCCCAACCCCCTTTGGTAGGTTTAGTTATCGATGTATATTGTATATTCATTCGAAAGGCCACCGTTCTGAATGTGGCCCAACTGGCCCAGTGCAGAGGGGAGTGGTCCTGACCTCAGATATGCGATCCGACATGTGCAGATTCTCGCCATTGAGTTTCTAGCGAGATTGTACAGGTTCTTTACCCCCTGGGTGTGATTTTCCGATCAGTGGATCAAAGATACGGGGTTTCCCGCCATGGATCAACCGCAGCGTTCTGACCAGTGAAACCTATCAAAAAGACTGCCAAAGATGGACGTCTATGCACTTTTGGGGCTCCACCTACCCTCTTCTTTTTTGGTCAGACAGATTCTGCTTATAGATCATGATTTCCCGTGAAAACCAACCGTGAGATTGTGAGCCAGATAAGACACACACACGGATATGACACGTGCTCAGATGGACGGAAAAAAGCATTGGCAGGGGCGCTGGGGTCGGAGAGGGCAGTGTGGAGCAAGTCATACGGGGTTGGATCTGAAAGAGGTACAGCAACGCAAAGCTGATTGATTTTGGACTATGTTCATTTGTCTAGGAAGTACTTTCCAGCATTGCCTCAAAGGGCAAGCTGATGGTGTAAGTAAAGACCTTTTTGGCAAGTCACTACAGGCTCAAAGATCCCGGATGGAAGAATTCTCCTGCGGCAGACTTGCCAATGAACCAACCTTTGCAGCCGCAGCTGAAACAGATGAACCAGAAGCTGGAGGATCTTTGCAGGCGTGTCCAATATCAGGAGTATCTTGAGACTGCAAGGTCCTCCTCTCAGAGGCAGCAAGCCTTGCAGCAACCTTGCTTGGAGGATCAGGTAAAGTGGCAAAGATCCGAGATCAAAAAGCTTCAAGATGCTCACTCCAAACTTCAGGAGGCTCAATCTGGCATGACGGTGGAGATCACAAACCTCAACCGTTGGGCAGGCCAGGTGAATGCGCAGTTGCACCACCCGGAAGGCTCTAGGGTCATCCAAAGGCTCCAAGCAGCCTCGGCAGAGCTGGAGGAAAATCTCCGTGAGTATCGAAGGATTGACAGCAACATCAAAGCTCACAAGGTCGAGAGCCAGCTGGGGGCTTTCAATCCCGAGACGCTTCTGCAATTCGTTCGAAACCAGATAGACCAGAAGATTGAACCCTGCAGGGACGACGTAAAGGAACTGCAAAAGCAGCTCCACAAGCTTGACGGTCTTGAGCAGCAGACTAAGAAGTGGGTGCCAGTTTCCATGGAGTCACAACACAACGAGATGGGGTCGAAGATCGCTGAGATGATGAAGCAGCTTCAAAAAGTGGGTGGTCTGGAGGCGGATTTGTCCCAGCACAAGGAGCAGCTTCAACGGATCAGTGGTCTTCAGATAAGTGTGCCACAGAAAGAGCTGGCAGGAACACTGAGAGGAGAAGTGGAACACTTAGCCACAAAGGTCGCCAATCTGGAGAAGAGTCTTCAGAGAAGTGTTGAGACACAGAACGCCTTGGTGGCAAAGCAGGCGACTAAGCAGCAGCAAAGGACAGATATTCTCGAGAGAAGGATACACACTCAAGAACAGCAGCTAGGAAGCCTGCAAGCCTCAATGACAAAACAGACCGAGGAGCAGCCTCAGAGAGTGGAGAGCCTTGAGGCAAAAGCTTCCATGCTGGAAGAGCAACTTCAAAAGATCAATGGTTTTGAGGCTGATGCAGAAGCCCAGGGAAAGCTGCTGGAAAGGCTGAGTGCCTCAGTGGCAAGTCAGGACGCGAAGCACCTTCAAAAGATGGAGAGTCTTCAGGCAGATGTGACCCGGCAGGAAGAGCAGCTTCAAAAGATCCGTGGTCTTGTGGCAAATGCAGCAACCCAAGAAGGGCTTCAGCAGCAGCTAGATGAGGTGAAGAAAACAGTTCCTTGGACATTCAACATTTTAGTCACATCATGCGGTGAGCATTGCACAATCCGAATCCAAGGGTTCTGTGTTGGTAGCCTGGTTTTGCATGCAAAGTATGATGAAGGGCGAGTCCAGATTTTCCCTGACCGGGCAGGCGAGGAAACTTGCCCGATTGTCCAATGCTGGAAAAGATCAGGGAAGTGCTGCAGAGAGCGTTGACCTCAAGAGCAAGTTTGAAGCCGGGCCTTGCTTTAGAATGCTAGTGCGGGACATCATTCTCATCAAAGGATGTGTATTTTTTAGAGTGAAATTTTGGAGCATTGTAGTGTGAACTTACGGCCCACAAGAAGAGAATGATTGGGTCCCGATTCTCAATGAGTTCCAGAATGATCAGGTCAGTTTTTCCTCTATTTTCTGTGTCCCTCCTTCAGGGGATCTTGTTTGCCATACTGAGATTCTGATCTTTTTCACGGATCTTGTCAGAAAGAGCTATAGAATAACAGGTTCTGGATGTCAAGACTGTCAAGAGGCACCCTTTTGAATCATCTCTCAGTTGCCATCCTTCTTGCTTTTGGACTGACATGCCTAGGATGCATGGATGCAGAGCAAGCGCTGGCCAAGCCCAAGCCGAGTTGAGAAGTTGGAGCAAGATCTGCCGAGCCTCCAAGGACTTCAAAGCCGACTCTCGAAGTTGGAAGATGCCCAAACCGAACCCGTGGAGAAGTGCTTGATCGTCATGGCACGCCTCACCGCCGTGGAGACAATGGTCCGGCAGGAGGCGTGGGGAAACAGCGGTGGTTGGTGAAGTGCTCAACACTGCTTGCAGCCTCCAGACCTAGAACAATCAAGGGTTGAATCTCCAAGCCGTTTGTGTTGAGGTCATAAACTTTTAATGTTTCTTCTCAAAAAACACATCGAACATCCACCAAGCCACTGGTTTGGTCTTCCCAACCTCGTCCAAGGAAGAACGGCTGCATCGTGATTCCTTACATTTTTTCTGTGGATCCCCATCCGGAAAGTACATGGGCATCGTGTGTATTGGAGTGGGGTCCATCACTCCGCCCTGTGAGTTAGTCTCCGAGTTTCGGAAAGCCCTTAGTCCTTGGGAGGTCTCTCACTGCGCACCCATGTGTTTCTCGTTGGAGGTTCTTCCGGAACTTCAACATCTCAAGACACGGATTGCCGATCGCTCCGGCCGCTCGGCGGGCCGGGCCTTTTTGGGCAGAGGGGTTTGTGCGAAGCACGGTGCGCAAAGGGGAAAGATGGGGCAACTTGTTCTTGGAATGATCCTGTTCACCTGTCTTATTCTACTGACCCTGTTGGGTACTGACGGGGTAATGGAACATGGACCCGGGCAAGACCAGGCCCCGATCAAAATCGGTCCCAGTTTCTAGTGACGACGCATGAGAATTTGACTCTGTGCTGGAGATGAACCCAAGGGCCTAGGGGAAATTCTGGGACAGGCCCTTGCCAACCCTTGTGGACCTTTGCTGGGGCTGGTTTATTTGGAGCGGGATGGCCCCCATGCAGCAAATACCGGTCAAACGTTGCCCCTCATCATCGATGTGATTGGGTATCTTCTTGTTGCCAGGGGTGCAAGTACGGACACATAGAACCTGAGTTAAGTGCACCAGTGGCTCATATCATAACGCTATTTGATATTGATGGCTAGAACTGATATGATGGCTAATGGTCAGAGCCAAACAAATCCACACATTCATCTGCATGGATACCGCCGCAAGGTTTTCCTTTTTCAGATGCGTGCCGCGCCTCAACCTATTGTCAGCTCCGAAAAAGTATCTCATCTTCAAGGTTTTTCTATTGACCGAACAAGGGGATCTCACAATCAGCGGGTGCCTCTTCTGCACCCAGCAGGACCTCTTTCAGCTTCGGCCGACGGGGGCTCCGGTGGCAGCAGCTCCCCTCGCTTCTTCGCCATGCCACCACGGCCGAAGGACTGGGGAAGAGTCGAGGGATCTTGATGACTCTCAAACAGAAGAGTGATCTGGGAAAGTGAGTCCGATGCGACATCTAAATTGAACGTTCAATATAAGTTGCACCCGCACACACACACAAGGTCATCTGAACCATCCTCGGGTGGATTGATCTTGGGACATCCAAGAAAAGGCCTGTTGATTGCTCCGTATTCAACACTTTAGGACGATAAGATGGACAAATATATACTTCTGTTTTTCTGAGTTCCCCATGACTCGCACTGGTGATGCCACATCTACTGCAACTGACTAGCCAGCCCATAGAAATCTGGATTGACTTGGCTCATAGGCCACCTGCATCCACACAAAGGAATCCCTCAAAATGGCATGTGTAGAAGCTTCTTCATGCGATACCATGAAATTCCGTCACTGGACATTGGCCTTGTGCTCAGTCTCTGAGAGGACCCAGTCTCTGAGAGGCGGACTTTGGATGTGGAGCGACGCCTGCACGCAGCACGGGACGCAACGCCACCGCAGAGCGTGGAGCAGCGCAGCAAGCTGTTGAAGACAGTGCAACTCACGTGACTCGGTGGAGGTCTGGCACCTTTGGGGTAGCAGAGGGAGAGGACTTGGTAGATTCTACTGGTAGATGAACCCAAGACACTTCGACAGGGTTCTTGGGTGAAGAATGGTGAAGAAGAGTACATGGCCAACATCGGTAAGGATCAAATGGTGAGATTGCATAGTAGCCTTAGAGGAGGTTGAATAGGATTGCAGCTCCAAGAACAGGACACCACAATATGCAGTCCGATGTTTCCCTGGAGAACATCCCGCAAAAGCGATCCATGTCACACCATTTCCACGTACGTCGTTGGCTTTTGGGGGTTTCTTGGTGCACAGCCGGGAGGACAAACTGAGCGAAGTGCAGAGCCACTTTACTAAAGTATATCAGTTTGGCTATTTGACAATAGGTCCCGAACTCACTTTGTGCGTAGGCCCTTGAGGCCAATGTCATGCTGACCCTCTTCCACTCGGATTGCCCGAATTGCTGTGGTCCCTACACCAACTCTTGCCAAGGCTGCATCCTGACAAGGGTGGCACAAATGAAGCCCAGATCCTCGCCAGCATCGCTGGGGGAGGGCCAGCAAAGAACCAGACTCAGACGCCACAACCTCATGGCACCAAATCTCACACACACACACACCATGATATCCTGGAGCTGGTGTCTATTTTGACAGAGATCGCCCGCGGGAGAGTCATCTGAAGCTTCCCCTCCTTCAACGCGTGGAAGGGAAGTGCTCTGGACCGGAGTTGGGTTCAAGGCATTGCAGGTATGCGGTTGTTGGGTTTGTATGGGCTTGTTCAAGCATAAAAATTACACTTTTTGGGAGGGGTGGGCTGTTCAAGAGAAAGACTCACAGAGACTCCACGATCACACCAGACCTAGTGCTCAACATGGTAGGGGATGTATGTCTCTTCAAACAACAGCTTCACAGCTTTAGTGTTAGTTTCTGGCAGCTGTTTGCGTGCGTTCGCTTGTCTCAACACTAGGGTTACTTTGGGTGTAGCCTTGTTTTCGATCTAGAGACACCATTTTGGTGAGCCGGGGGGGAAGCAACACCTTTGGCGCCCACCATTCCAGATGGCGCGTTTTCTGAGGATTTGGCTCAAAGAGTGGCTCAAGGATCACCTCGAGTGGTTCTTCGAGCCGCACCAAGTGCCAGAGAAGCTCAAGAAGCAATACCAGGCGATGAAGCAACCTGGCTGGGTGGCCAGATCGTGGGGCACAACTCTTTGGAGATCTTTGCAACCAAATGCATGTCCGACCAGCCAAACACTGGCCCGAGTCATGTATTCATTCAGGGATCAATGATGAACTCAGCTGCCGAACTCGCGACCACTGGCACATGTGTCCATCCAGACTCATCATGTGTGTCCCCTGACGTGATAGCATGTTACATATTGTAACCGCGATTCGGTCGCTCCCCAAATCACGAAAGCTAGCGAAGCTAGCTGGAGTTACTCTTGCGATAGCAAGGTTTCTTTCGACCGGGTGCAAATCCTAACCCCTGATTTTTCAGGTCGAAGACCCCCCCCCCTCTCCCCACCTCCCCCCCTCTCCTCCTCCTTGTCTTCCTCCCATCTTCCCTCCCTCCCTCCTCCCTCTTCGCAAGTTCGACTCCGTCCTGTCGTCGCTCTTTGGCATGCGGTTAGCGTTGCGTATCTTGCGGCCGCACTCGCTCACTCTCACTCTCACTCTCTCACTGTCTCACTGTCTCACTGTCTCTCTCATCTCTCTCATCTCTCTCATCTCTTTCTCATCTCTCTCATCTCTCTCTCCTCTCTCTCTCTCTCTCTCCTCTCTGTCTCTCGTCTTTCCGTCTCTCTTCTCTCTCTTCTCTCGCAGGAGGATCCGGGCAAAGAGCCACATATAAAGGACTCTTCACCCCTGCCTCCAAAAAGAGCGCCGTGTTTTTTCCTACCTCGCTGCCCTCCACTTTCCCATTCTGGAGCGCTAGCTTTCGCCCCCCCCCTTGGCCTCAAGTACAGGACAATGTGTCTTCATGGGTATTTCTCGCCATGAAGAGGTACAGTATGCAGCAACGTTCTTGACATGAAACGGTTCCTTATTATATACATCGCAGAACGCCAGGTACCACCCGATAAGGAACCATGAACCACAGTTTCTAGGTTTATGATTTATGTGTTTTTTTCTCTTTGAGACCACTGGTCACCATGATCTGGACATGGCGACCAGCTCTCCGGGGCAGGCCGACAGTGAGGAAGACTTGAGCGTGGAGGAGGCAGGGTTTGGACATCAGCTGTGGGAGTGCGACGGGCAAAGCAAATACGAAAGGTATGTGAACCACACATTTCTGTCATCATTGAAAGGCTTCCTATAACCAAACACAATAACTCAAGTCCTAAGTAGGCTTTCAGTTGTTTGGGCCTGTTCATTGCGTGCCAGGTGGCCCAGATCCAGGTTTTCCACAGCGACCACTGGCGAAGACACTTGCAACAGGTGATGCGCGGCAAGGACCCGGCAGCCTACGTGGTCAAGACCCGGGCTGGGAATCTGATCCAATGGGCGGCCGGTGGCGCGGTGGGTGAACTGGAGACAGTCCCTGTGCTCGAGGATTTTCCACTGGTGCTTGAGGCCAGCTTGATCATATGGCCACATGGAGTGATCAGTTCAAATCAGGTATCAGGAGTTGATGTGCGGCTTGCAATTGGAAGAGTCTTCCTGTTGATCATGACACCTAGACAATCATCCATACAAGATAGACGTGAGGGTTGCAGATGAGTCAATTCCGGAGCTTTGAGAAGGTTCTGAGAGGTGTTGCTGTTTCCAAGTTTGGTGGATGGAACGAGACGGCTTTGACAGACCGTCAGCCGTCGGGAGAAAAAGTTGTCTTATGCATGATGTGAATCTCGGTGTAAGAGGTTTGATTCCCTGACATTGAATACATTTGGAAGAATGACAGCTGTTTGCTCCAAAAAATAACATCTGTCATGTCATGGTATTCAAAATGACCGTTGTTTGCCCATTTGCATGATGAGGCTCCAATTTGTCCCTGTTGTTTTGGGTGATACCAAATGGAAGCGACTGGGACCAATGACTCGGTGACTTGGTCCTCTGGGCAGGCGTCTTGAACGATGGTGCCCCGGTGGCCACTCGGAAGACCTGGAAGGACGGCTGGAAGACCGAAGTGTGTTTAGACCAACGAGGTGTTTCAACCAGTGGTTTCCCAACCTCTTTTCTTTTCAACAGAGATTTTGATACTGTCAGTTTCTATTACGTACTTTTCTACTGAAGTTTGGGTCTTCTTTGCAAGGGCAAGGTTATCATGTAAGGTTCCTGAAGAAGATCCGAGAACTTCAAGAATGCGCATGATGTCGTCACATTGATTGATCTGGCCTTGAAGAGGTCTGCGATCTGGCCACCTAAAGTCCAATCACTCTAGGCCCCTACGGCCCTACATACAATCACTTGTGGCCCAAATTCGTTGAATCGCACTTCCCTTTTGTGGGGCGGATCCAAGGGAGTTCGAGATGCCAAATAACCGTAGCTGTAAGAAAAGAACATGTTGAAAGCACCAAATGTGCCAGATGTGATGCCACGATAGACTCTAGCTAGCTGAGGGCTCTGGAAGTTGTAGTCTCTGAATAGTCTCTGCTCATTGCCACTGGTGTCTTTGAGGCGAGAATCTCGTGCTGAAGTTCTCAAGAACCCTTGAGTCAAGGGACTGAAGCAGCCTGTTCAAGTGTGATTTTGACACTTTGCTTTGCTCTCTCCAACTGGGCCTGGTCAAGTTGACTCGACTTGGAATTCGGATTCTTCTGAGAGTCAAATCACCTTTCTTTGGAGAGCAATATTTTTCATGGTATATAATCATTGCTTAAGGCACTCATTCCCTCAAACAAAAAGACAACAAGTCTTGCATTTGGGGATGAACTTTGCCAACCCCTCTTGGTAGGTCAATTCATCATTCCCATTCCATCCCATTCCAATCCTTTCTGTTCTTTCTTTTGGATCTTTATATAGAACTGATCAACACATTTGACCGTTCCGAACGTACTTCAAGAGGCCCAGTACAGAGGTGAGTGTCACGGAGCTTACATGGCGACTTCCTACAAGTGGAACGTCTCGCCGGCCGAGTTTCTTCCGCGATTGTACAGGGGCTTGGCTCCATAGCTTGTTCTTTAATCATAACATGGGGGTCTCTTGCTGTGGGTCAAGCATCACGAAACGACCTGTAAAAACCATTCGACCATTTGTTTGTTCTTGTGGATGTTTGCGCTTGACTTTGTTCAACAAGCTGTTTTTCTTTTGAAAAGAACTGTTGGACAAACAGAAAGAGCCTTAGCCCAAATCTTTGATCAAACCTCGAAGTTTCGAGGTTTCACCGGTCAAAGGAGCTGAGAAGAGCACGAGATGTTTGAAGACAGATCCGTGTTGTAAGGACCTACAGTTTCCTGCAGTTTCCATGCCACCCAGAATTCAAGGTCCTTCAGACATATATACAGTACTAGAATCACAGTTTATTTGGGATGTGGCTTCACACCAACCAATATTCTTCAGTGCTGGTGTGACAATGAATGAAAGTGGAGAAGGGAAGACCCTACCAGGTCCACCAAGTCCACTTGGCTTTTGGTTTTGTTGCCGTTTTGATTCCGAATACGTAGCGAAGGATTCTCATCTATACTCATCTATAGTTTTGGGATGCTTTAGGAGTCACCATCGTATCCTTCAAAGAGTTTCCAAGAGTGTCCACAGAAAGTGCATTGGACTGTTTTGCGACTGCAAGTCTGAGGTCCTCCTTTGTCAGCTTGTTGCATTCGGATTCGTGGGTTTTCATCAGGTTTTTCTCTGGGGCCACCACCGCGATCATCACCATCTCTGTGACTTCAACATCTTTGACCTTTTGGGTCATGAAACTTATGACCATGGGCTTGCAAAGTGTTGCAAGGAGATCCGGACGCGAACCCAGACAGATCGCGACACAAGGTGCTGAGAGTACGCGAAAGTCCGAGAACTTGCGAGTAGGACGGGTGATGGCAATGATCATCTTGCAGAACGATTTCTTTCACCTTTCAAGAACCAACATCAACCCCGAATACAGACTCTACCCATGGATTTAGGGGTTCAAGGAAACTAAGTGAAACAGAGACGGACATTTTGTGCAGGTCCCCTGTGTGGCAGTTTTTGTTTTTCTGAAACAGTAACAAATCCAAACAGTTCAGTAGATGATGTATTTTTAAGTTCCTTCGTTTGTAGGTGATTTCCACGTTAGGGCTTTCTGGTGCAATCTGCCAAGCCATTTGGCAGCGCGGGCTCAAGAATACCTCTTGGCATCCTTCTTTGCCCACGAGCTGCAGCAGTTGGAGGTCAGGCTGGGGGAATGGGATCGGTGCTGATTGGCCTTGGCTAAATCCCCAAACTCATTCAATACGATCTTGGTAGTTCATTCATTGTGCACAGGCATACATACGGATGCATGCTGGACTTTACTTGTACCAGGTGAAACTTTTCAAACCCGGAATAATGGTGCTCTCACACCTAAGGTCTGCCGGTACCCACAGTTTTCCCAACCCAACATTCACAACGCGCTGACAATGGGTATTTGTTTAGTTACTAGCAGAGCCTGACATGCTCCAGCGCACGCTCCATCAGGGTCCACCTCAACCTGCTGGGTCTTCAAGGTCTTACATGTGCGCTTCCCAGTCTTTGGCGTTGAACAACAGAAGACAGAGGAGTCTTCAGTCGTCCAACGAAGAGCCAGGTGTGCATTTGAGCAGGCAGGAGGCAACAGAAGGAACAATGGGAGACTGATGTAGAATGCTGTGGACCCTTCTTGGCGGCAGATATTCTCAGCTTTCGCATCTCATTCTTTTCACAAGGCATTGCTTTCCATGCTTTAGGGTTGTCTCTGTGGATGCCAGGCGAATGCTTTTTGAAGATGTCAAGGGTGCTTGTGAGCGCAAGCCTGGTCTCAGAGGTTGCAAAGGCGTTCGATTGTTCATACCACAAATAGATTGCAGTAATTACAAATCCTGGAAGGCAAACCTTCACTTGCGTTCATGCGTGTTTTGTACTGGAACATGTTTCTGGGACGTCAAAGGTACTTCCAAGAAGATTTGGACAAGTTTGCCATTTGATTGGCCGATTTCAGAGTTCCTACTCATAGGTATTCTTCCCCAGTGGTCATGTCGGGGGTCTAAGCAGATGAGCTTCTGCCATGGGGTGAGGCATGGACATTGATTCATTTTTACGTGGACTTTCTTGCTCACCAGGTTGGGCTGGACCAAGGTTCTTTTATGCCTTGCTGATCCTTGAGACCCAAGTTTGCTTCCGCACCAAGAGAGTGTGGGAGTTGGTGCGTTCTGAAGTCAGTGAGTCTGGGGTGACTATCTTGTGGTCCTCAATTAGATCAAGCAGTGAAGAACAGGGACATGGGAGTGAGGAAGAGCATTTATTTGTCCGATGTCATTCTTTGACAAGATGCAAGTTCTTGTGTTGTAAGGGACTGCTACTCCAAAGTGAGTCACGAGCTACATCAAGGCCCAGAAGCTACATCAAGGCCCAATGAAGCTTATCCTAGCTGTAAGGGGTTTCCCTTTCGAGAGCTGCCGCTCACTGCATGTGGTGCAAGCATGATTTGCGATGCGGGTGTGGGTCGGTGTGGGTCCACCTTTGTTGTCATCTAAGTCTAGTGGACTCTAGGCTTGATGGACATGATCTTCAAATCCTAGGACAATGGAGTTTTTGACATGACCCAGACCCACACATGCCGGCTTTCTTAAGATGGACTAGTGCGTGCGAACAGATGGATGGAAAAAGCATTGAAGGTTGAGTCAAGTTCATCCCTGGGGTCTTTGCCTCACTCTGAGGGAGGTGTCATGAAGTGAGATTTGCCGACACTTTGGCAGCATGTGTTCCTTTTCTTTAAAATCGTGCTTCGGATTCTATCTCTCTTCAAGGAACTCTCTTCTAAAGCTGGTGGGCAGCTTGTGACTGGCTCGAACCTTCCCTATGACAAAATCCTTCTATACGCAGCGTCCGGCGAGCTCTGCAGAGAGGATGACGTCCGAGACGCAGGATGCAAAGGAGGTCGAGGTCCGAGATTCGTGGTGGGTATGGCGAGTTGTTGCATCGAAGAAATGGGTGCAGGAGATAGATGAGGAACAGAACGTGTTGAAGCAACATGTCCAGAAAGTGGAGAGTGTGTTGAACCAACACGTCCAGAACGTGGACAATTTGACGAAATCCAACGCAATGGAGCTCTCAACGAAGCTGCAGGAAACTCAATCAACTCACTCCCACTTGGCGGCACAGATCAAGAATGTCGACGCTTCTTGTCAAAAGCACATAGAAGACCTCAATCGCTGGGTATCCTGCACACGCCAGAGGCTCAACTGGGTGGAAGGTGGTGACATGATGTCACAGCTCCACAAAGGGTTTGCGAAGCTCGACAAAGGGTTGGAGACGATCGATCAGAAGATAGGTGAGTACAACAAGATCCAATTGGATATTACTCACAAATTGACAATCCAGAAGGAGATGGTGAAGAAGCAGCTCCAGACTTGGGACAGCCCTGATGCAGCCAGCACCTTGAAACGGCAACTCTCAGACGAGATTGACCGGAAGATCAAGCCCCTCAAGGACTCTGTAGAGCAGGCATTGGAGAAACTTCAAAAGATAGAGGATGGGCAGAAGCGGCTTGAGAGGATCGATGAGATCGAGGATGATATGAAGGAGAAGTGGACGCTCGTGGAAGCAGTGCAAACTTCGGTGGAGATTGAATTCCCCAAAATTACTCAATTGGAGAAAGGCATGCAGAGTCTAAAGGCAGAGGTGGCTGGGCTGAAAACCCTGGAGGCAACAATGGCAAGCCGCGCATTTGTGCAAACGCTGCAAGCCAACCTCGAGTCCCAGCTAGAGGAGCTAAAGGTCAAGACAAGTTGCCGAGAAGCACATGAAGATCAGCAAGCTTCATTACCTCACCAGCTCCAAAAGCAGCTAAAGAAGATGGAGGGTCTTGAAGCAGAGGTGGCCATGCAGAAAGAGCAGGTTGAAAAGATCAGTGGTCTTGAGGCT